ATTTCCACAAAACCCCAATCTACCATTTGGAAGATCTACCTTCTAGCATACATAAAATCACGCTTGACTACAACTTTATATAACACTCATAAATTCGTATTTGATTTACACGTTACAACTGTTGTATGTTTGGGTGTTCTTTTCAAGAACCACTCTGTTCCATCCCCTGGTCCCATGTTATTCCAGACATGAGATCTTGAATAAGGGTAGTTATGAGCTTCTCTAGCGCATATATATCTCTTTTTGGATCCTTATAACTTAAATTTTTACTCCTAGAAACATCCTGATTTTAGCTCTCGGTTGATCAGCCCTTCTTGATGGGAATTTTTGATCCATTCTACTATTGGTGTGGAGAAAAATGGCACAATGATGTTGGGCTGGATTCTTTAAATTGATGGGCTTGTGGGTCGGATCCTTAAATGATGAATTGGTGTTGATTTGTTTCTTGGCCACAAACGTGTTGCTGAAACACGACTTCTCTTAAATAAGAATGATGCACCTGAACTTGTCAAGTGTCGCCTTCTGCACCGTTGGATGGACGACCTTCTAGTGCCTTTGATATTAATTTGGCACTAGGTTTTAAGATGCCGGACTTTTCACTTTCTTTTGTCTCTTGAACTCTCTCTGGATTCTTCGTTTTCTCTCCTCTGCACTTTGAAATTAAGCCCTTGTTTATGAGATAATTTCCAACCGTTTTGTATAGATCTTGAGTGATTTGTATAGGCTTATTTATGTCATTCTTAGGTGAATGATGTTCTGTATTGTGAGGCTTATTTTGGGAGAAATCTTGCGTGATTTTGGCCGAGTGCTGTTGTAAAATTTTATCTCACAAGTGGACGGATCATAACAAGTAGTAAAGTGAACCTTTTGAGTTCGGATTATTGTTCCCACGAGAACTATATTTTAATACTCAATTTATTATTTCTAACTTCTATTTGACGAAAATAAATGAGAACAATGATTAAAAGTGGTTTTTATTCTAACTACTTAAAAGTTCGTGAGTGCAACTGAAAATGAGTGAGAATTCAAATAATAAATGGATATTGGGGCGGAACAACTTCCCTTATTGGTCTCCTTTACTTCTAATATCAAGATTCATAAAATCTAAAATAATATTCAGTCGAATTCTTCTACGGTATTCAATTTATCCTTCTCGAGTTCTCATTGAATCTATTTAAATAATTCAATTTCATATCTGTATGTGAATCAACATTATTTAAATGAAATAATAGTTCTATGAATTCATATAGGACCGTAACAATTAATATAGGTATCTCTACACGTTATATTAATTTATCGAATTTTAATATGTGATATAAACAAGAATCCGCATCTCTAAGCAATTATTGTTTACGAAATCATTGAATAATTGACCAGAAAATTCAAAGCATTGAGAATATGATTAAAATCCACACGTGTAATTATAACGAACAAAAATCTCAAATAAAAGAAATAAAAGTTCCCAAATCAATTACATTGTTCGCCCTAAAATCAGATTAACTACTCATAGTAATGAAAGAAAAACAAGAAGTTATTATGGAAGACATCACCGAGTTTTGAATAAGAATGTAGAATAAGAAAAAAATCTTGCATCAATATCTTCTTCCCCTTCCAATTTATGCTTCAACCCCTGAATTGCTTGCTGTTTTGTTCTCTTGAATTCTTCTCTTTTGATTCTCCAATTATGTTATCTTGCCTCTCAATGTGTGAAGAATCCTCCAAAAGTGTGAGAAATATGTATTTATAGGTGTCTCCTCCGTTTGTGTAGAAAATAGGATTTTTATGGATTCCAAAAAAGGCCCAAAAATGCGCCATAAACAATCCCGGCGCAGCGCCCAAGCACTACGCATGCTTAGACGCTGATGGCAGCGCCTGGTTGCTGTCATCAATTCGATCGCACTGCACAACTTTCAGTTTTTTCGTCATAATTTTTTCTCCTGATATTCGATCGAGGCGATTCAAGATAAGCTGGAAAGCTAACTCAAAAAGCCACAATTTTTCTTCAAATACCATTTTCAAATTCGATCATTTACTATGTCAAAAATAAGTCTCAATATAAGTTTAAAAACGATGCATACATTTCTTCGGTTGAAACTTGATGTGTGATCAAAATTTGATTATATTTCATCCCTTTGATATCTTTATTTATTCAATTGACTTCGAGAACTCTTGAATCTTCATTGTGAGGTCCGACACAACTTTTGAATATTTGCACTTTAGTCCCTAAACTTTGGGTTTCTTACAACTTAGCCCATTTTCTCCAATTCTGGCAACTTTTGCTTATTTCCTTCAATTTCTTGTATCGTCATTAAATTTTTCCTATTCAACACGAATTGCAATAATTTAGACCATAATTCATCCGAAAAACAACTAAATATCATCATTTTAAAGTTTTAAATAAGTGTATAAAATAAACTTATCAAGTACCATGGAGCTTGTACTGGACCGTTCTTTTGATTCCATTGATATAGTTATATCCTTCTGGTCACGGTTGCTCAAAAGGGGATTAAGAATTCCAGTACTGAACCTCTTGCCTTGGAGCAAAAATTATCGCGTTCCTTTACTTTTCTTTCTGTTTTCTGCTTTATTTTTCATATTTTGTTGAGTTTTAAAAGTGGCTAATATTTGAATTACTCGTAACAATTGGGAACTGTCTTTTCCCCTCTAAGCTTGGCAACAAATTCATGCGGTTGTCCGTGGCAAATGAAGGCTTCAACTTCTTCCTTCAGATCCTTACGTTCACCTGTCTCTATGCCCGGCTAATCTACGATATTGACAGTACTTCCTCTGGTGAAGGTAGGATAAGTTCTTCCTTGGTTGCAGTGTCTTTTATCATTTGTCTCCTTTCGCCATTCTCTTTGGGCTGGACTTTTTGGATTTCCATTTTTTCCTTGTGATTCGTATCGATGCCTTTAGCACTTATCTGTTTCTAAGCTCTATTGAAAAATATATGGTAAAATTATGGTTTGGTTCTGGTGAATGGACCACCAGAACTTTATATTGACCCAGAGATTGGAAAGGATGGCCATTAAGGTATGATAATTCGAGACATGTCCATCTCCCCGATGTGCTTTTTGAACCTGTTGAGATAGCTTTGAGAGAGTCTTCCTTCCTTGCTTGATACTAATGAGGCGCTCAATTGGTGTGGACCGAGCTCTAGAAACCATAGAGCCGCCATTCTAGCTTCGAATGGACGTTTAGGTCAGCTTCTTAAACGTAGTCATTTGTGCGTCGTCCACCCTAATCAAGAAGCATCTTCAAAAATTTACGAGAATTTCGAACGTAATTGCTTCTTGTTCTAGAATGGTTCAAACTCCTTCATCCTTGGTTTAACTTCTTTGAAACAGTTGCAAAGCAAAAATGTTTAGGAAAGGTGATTTTTGTGTTGGAACTTTGGATGACTCTTACAAGTAGAGGTCCTCCTTACTTCAAACTTTTGATATTAGAGTGACATGGCACTTCCCAATTCAACTTGAAAGAATTTGTAGAAAAGAAAATAAGTTTTTTGAGTTCTAAACCAGAGTTTCAACATTATTAGAATCTCTCTTAAAACTTTACTACAATAATGAAAACTGGCCCCCTGTGTTAGGGGCCAATTGGCTATCACAGGGGTAAACGAATGCCACCTTTAGTCACATCATGTTAAAAGTATTTTTTCTTTATCTTCGACTTGAAACCTACTGAGTGCTTTCTCTTCTCATTCTATTGTTGAGATAATTACTATGGCATAAGCCAATCCCAATCTCTATTTGAAACGAAAACCCTAACATAAATATAATCAAGCATATGAATAACAAGGATTCACAAACAAAATATTTCATCTGAGTACATTTAAACCACGAGAATCTCAATATATAATGAACACGTACAAAAATCCAAGCAATTAAATTGACTGGAATATTGAATTATTGAAAGCAAATTTTGAAGTAATGAATGGAATTTTCTAAGAAAGAATTGAATGGCTACAAGAGCTTGTTTGGGTTCATTGTTAATTATTGAATTTATAATGCGATAAAAATGAGTGACGAACAAGTATGTCATAATTGTGAATCTCAAAAAAAAAAAATAAAAAGGGATAAAAATTAAAGTTTGACTTGACTAATACATTATAACATACTTATAATAAAACACAAGACAAATAAAACAGACATGGGCATGTTCTAAAGCACCTTGGATAACCATTCGCTAATTGACCGTGCGCACCCATTAAGGCTAGTCCTCATTATGTATTTGTTACTGATGATTGGAAGTGAACATTCAGTCTGTTACTTTGTCCAAAAAGGCACCCTACAGTAGATCATGTTGGTTCAATTTGAGATGGAAGAACAAAAAAAGAATAGTATTGATCCTGGATTCAAGCCTTCTTACACGAAAGGGGAGAAATCAACTGATTCCTTTTTCAAATAAGAAAAACATAAAAACAGAGTACCATAAGAAATAAAGTGCAGATTGCCAGTTGGTGAATCTTCCAAAATCAAAGCACTTACTAGAACTGCTCTCAATGTATCTAGTTTGGGTGTCAAGTTTCCATGTCACAAATTGCTCACACCTCTTCTATTCCTCTTCCTTGCAATTACAACTGATAAATAGCAAATGAAGTGTTGGATTTTTATTTTTTTTTGCTTCATATTGGCTATTTTCCTAGTGGCGCATCCAATACGCACACAATAGACATTTCAGGCAGTACCCACGTCATATAATACAACAAAAAAACACTTATATAAAGTAATTTACTTTTGCATGATGCTTCTCTAATCATTTCACTAATAGACCTGCTAAGCTTCTCCTAGGGACCATGCCTAAGGTGATCAGGTCAGATCTAAAGGGAATGAACTGCAAGTTCAAACTCACTGGGTATCAAATGGAGGAAGCTGCTAGAACACAAGGTAACTGATAAAAAAATGAGGGATACACATGACCAAATAATATGAATGTGCCCTGTCTTCAAACTCTCGTTCATAAATAATTTCGATTCCTAACAAATTACTGCCCTCATCCACTAAGATAAACAAATGAAGCAATTTCATTCAAGAGAGTAAAATAAAATAAAACAGAGCAAAGCAAAGCAACAAGAGTGACCATAGAGCAGCAAGAGGCTGCACATATCTCAACTAGTGATAAAACAGAACGATACATCCACGTTGATACATGATAGCTTAAAAAATAGTAGAAGAGCTACAGGTAAATAAACTGCAAATAAACGAGAGCATGACCTAAATGCAACCATCCCACAAGCATTGAGCGTTAACCTTTTCTGCTCTCAAGAGACGCTCAACGTCTTTTGGAGGGTTCAAGCCCAAGGCTTTAGCACGCTCCCATCGATCCAATCTGGTCATCCCAAGGCATGGTCCATATGCCATGCTCATATCAAATTGTCTCAGAATCTCCTCTTTGCTATCATAATCATCTGTGAAATTTTAATATCGTATTAGATAGCTATTTAATTTTCGAGCAAAAACCTGCTGTTAAACAAGTGCAACTAAGATGGTCGAGGTCTGGAAACAGAATATCGTTAGATGTTGACGAGTGTTCACACAAAACTGTCGAAACATATAATAGAAAGGATAACAAACAAATAACCTTGGAAATTGAGAAATCAACACTTAGCTAATATATGTAGGGAAACCACTCTGCTTGTGATTTTAGGCATGGCGATTTGAGTTAACTCAGTTCTGGCACAACTTCATAAAATTTTTTATTCAAGTATTAACATCCAATAAATTGATGAGCTTTGATTAGAAAAATAATAACAAAAGTCCAAATAAACACATACATCGATTGTGACTAAATTTCTTTTACATGCCAAGTCTCGTAATACGCAATAAGTAATTTTTGTGCATTTCAAAACTTAATCATGTGATTTAGCCCTAAAACTGTTCACCACGCGTCGTTTAACTATCCGACGCGTTATCGGGATATAATATGGTTCATAAAGGAGGATAATAGAATGGCTCAACCTTGGAGATCGAGAGCACCATGGGAGATGAGAGCCGGAGGCTGAACTTGATCGGTCCCGACGGAGGCGGAGTTCTTTGACTTTTTAAACGACGTCGCTTTGTTCGCTTTCGATTTTCCAACACCCCTTCCGCCGGCGGTCTTCTTCTTTTGCCTGAAGAAACCCTTCATGTCCGACGATGAGGCCATTGTTTTTCTCTCTTCCTCTGCTTTCAGATTTTAAATTTCGAATTTTGAATTTGAACGTGTACTTTCGATAGATAAAGAGCACCGAGTCGGTGTTCTCTCTCCAGTACTTTCCATTCAATTCTTTATGGTTTCAATATACTTTGGGTATTTGGCCCAATAAGCAAGTCCTTACATATGTTCCACATTTGGGTAATTGGCCCGACAGGGCAACTTACAAAAATACCCTTAAAATTATGGATGTTTTGAAAAATCATATGAAAAGTTTTTCGAAAGTAAAAAATATTATGTAAAATTAAGAGTCATTTTTTACACAATCCTTTTTAACGGTCCCGTTTTCACATGAAAATCATATGATTTTTTTTTTTTTTAGAAAAATCAAGAATGTTTTGAAAAATCATATGTTCATCTCCCTTTTTAACAGTCCTATTTTCACGTTTTATTTACCATTTATTGAACTCTAACTTGCACTTGATGACAACAAAGGTTGAGACCCTAGTATGACTTTGGGCTGAACTGAACTAGATCCCAAAATAATAATAACCGACCTAAGACAAGTCAATAAATGACCTTCTCATGAATGTGGTAAATAGTAAGTTTATTAGTGAATGACAATTGTACTCTGTAGCTTAGAAATTATTATTATTGTATCTCTAATTCTTCCCTAAAAATATAGAGCTTTAATTTTCATTATAATACACACAATTCCATTAATTTCTCCATGAAGGGTATTCATTTTTTTGAAAGTATATCTTAACATACTATTTTTAAAAATGTGTTTTAATTCTTTATTTTATTTTTTGAAAAAGTAATTTTGAAGCTTGGCCAAGCCAAACATGCTCTAAGTTGAGCCCCAACTATTTTTTTTTTAATCTTTAAATTAAAACTCTTTATTTCTAATATTCGTTTGCAATCATATTTACATAATAAAATATTTTGTATGTAAATTCAAAACTTTTTGTTTACTTTTAAATACACATTCTTTAAAAACTCACTATTCAAAACATCATTTTTCTTCAATTTCTCTTTATAATGGCCATCAGATAGTGGTTTAATAGGCATTGTTAGTTTAAATTATTATTTTTTTATGAAATTCATTTTTAACCATATATTCTCACAATATAATATTTTAAATGTAAATTTACAAATTTTCACTATTATTTAACCACATATTATCTAAAAGTTACTATTCTAAAACTCATTTTTCCCAAAATACTCTTCTAATGGGCATAAAATAGAACTCCAAATAGAAAATTCACGTTCCAAAAAGCATTCTATCTCAATTTGTCACTTCAAATAGAAAATACAAATAGAGATCCAAATCAAGAAAAATAATTTATTTAGCAGATTTTATGGGCTTGTTCGAGCCACATTATTTTCAAAAAAATACATTTTTCAACAGTGATTTGACATAATTTCAATCACACATTTTTCAATAAAATAATATTACACGCAGATTTAAAACTTTTTCTTTCGATCCCAAGGGGTGCAGATTCATAATAGGCATATAGATTCACGTCAATTCAGATTAATATTTAGGTATAGATATTACCTCTTTTTTTATTTTTTATTTTTTCCATTGATATGACATGAATAATTCATTTTTTTCCTAGAATGTGACTCAAACATGGGCTACACTGGTTGAAAATATGAATTATTTTTATTAAAATTGTAAAAAATATTAAAGGAAAAAGGCAGCTGGATAATGAGTACCAGGTAGCCGTTACACCCTCCAGTGTTTTCACAACGGTTTTATTTCTTCTCAAAATCAGACCTAAAATATGACCGTTGCAGCTTCTTCCACACTATAAACCATCTGCTCTTCCTCTCTAATCAGCATCAAATCTCCTCGTTTCTTTTTCACGAAGAAAATCAAATCCCAGTTGCCAGAAATCCCCAAAAACTTCATAAATCTTGCTCAGATTTAGTTCAAATAAAAATGGGTTTGTCCATTGACACCTCCTCCTCCAATGAATCCCATCCCAAAACTCACAAGGTGTTCATATTAAGCAACTATCTTCTTCTAGGTGCAGCTTCCAGTTGCATTTTCTTGACCCTCTCCCTCCGTCTCATCCCATCGCTTTGCGGGTTTCTCTTGATCCTCCTCCAAATCATCACCATTGGGGGTGCCATTTCTGGCTGCACCGCAGCCAATGCTGCCAGGGGTGCCACCAAGTGGTATGGAGCTCACATGGTAGCAACTGTCCTGACCGCAATATTCCAAGGGTCTATATCTGTACTGATCTTCACAAGGCCCTCGGATTTTCTTAGAAATCTTAAGTCCTATGTGAGAGAAGAGAATGGTGTGGTGATCTTGAAATTGGCAGGTGGATTGTGCGTTCTGATTTTCTTTCTAGAGTGGGTGGTTTTGACTCTGGCATTCTTCTTGAAATACTATGCTTATGTTGAGAGAGAGGGAGCTAATTCTCAGTCTATGAGGAGTGCCAAGGTTCAAAATGAGGAGAATCCATATCCTTTTCAAGTCAAATTTTAATCAAATCTTGGTGGAGCTTGTTGTATTTGGGGTAGTATATATGACTCTGATTAGCGATTAATCATCGCTTTAAGTATTCTTTTAGTTTGTTGGTTCTTTAATTTGATGGGATTTGTTGCTGTTATTATTGTATTGGGAAACTTGTAATACTGCACTGTTTAGCTGTGATTCACATGACTTGTTCAATCGGATTTCTTGTATTGCCATAGCACTTCGCTGATTATTGCTGGCTTTGCCACATATTCCCATTTTCGTAATCAAGGTATTACAACCTTTCCTTCGAATTGGCCATGCAAACTATATCAAAACTTGACATAAGAGATTCAATTTGATTTTGAAATCAGTTGGGAGTGTACTTTTCTTTGGACATCCTTCTTTCCAAATCAATTTAAAGGATAAGAAATTCTCCTAAAAGTTGTAGTTACAATTGATAACTAAACGAGTAAAGATACCAGTTGTAACCGTTAATATGACCCCAAGGTGGCTCAAAATTGGCTGCAAAACCACAAAGGTAACATTCCCATTTGGTGTAATGTGTAAAAAAGAAAAAGAAAATTATCCATTATGAATTACACACAAAAGATAGAATGTCAAATATGGTGACTTGATCTGATGAATAACGATCATATTTTTCATTTTAATGGACAAATAATGAAAAACAAACGAGGGTATTTTGCCTTCTATGGAAAAACACGCCCAAGGTAAGAAATTGCAGGGAATAAGTTTGTCATAAATAAAAAATAAAAATAAAAAAATTGGCCACTAAGGGCTTTCAAAAGTGAAACAGCGACAACAGCCAACAGAAATTCAGCAGCAAAATCAAAGCCCAGTCAGCATCAGACTTGCAACATTTTATCACCAGATGTTATTTGCTAAAACTTGTAAATCTGCCATACAAAAGGTATTTTTCAATTATATCACACAGGCCAAAAGGAGGAGAAAGAAATCCCAAGAGGATTATTGATTCTCGGCAGTGCTATCCTGCTGTGGTTGTATGGCAGCTGCGGCTTTGTGGGATGATTGTGGGGAAGTTTCATTCAGGTTGTTAGTCTTTCCAGATGGAGGCAGACATCTTTTCGAGAAGAATTTAGCAATGCTTGTTGTTTTCCCGAAACTCTTCTCTGCAAATGAACATGGGAAGTAATTCTCTCAATATCAAGTACAACAAATGGCTATCACTAATAGCAGAAATAATGAGTACATGTCAAGTTACCAAGGTAATAGCTATACCTGGCGATACAGACAAACCGAGCTCGACTAGAATTTCTTTCTTAACCTGCCTCATGATAAAAGAGTTACCAGCAAGTTTCAGCGCAGTCTCAGCAAACAATCACTAAAAAGAAACTGAAGACCCAACCTCACTTCCTCAAGTGATGGATAGGCCACCATAAGCAATTAATAAAGCTAGAATAAGACAATAATATTCAGGCTGGTTCATGAAGTTAATCAGGGGCAGAATCAAGTGCCAGACAACCAAACTGCAATGGTCGACACTAACAATATTAGATTAAATAGTTTGATCAGCATAGAGATAATTTGAATACATCCTTGAATAAGCCTTTTGTAACTAAATATGTGGATTTGCTGAGATTTTGAGCAATAACAGAACTTATCTCCCTTTACAATGAAAAGTTTCCTTCTCAAATATGAAGATTCAATTTATGAACAGGAGATTTCGCATATCAGCAAGGACTACATTTTACCAGCTAGGTGCTAGGTGATGAAAGCCATACAGAAAATGAATGACGTGTTCTTTTTGAATATGAAGATTCAATTCAAGAAAAAGAGAGCTCACACATTGACAGGGATTACATTTTACCAGCTAGATGATGAAAGTTGTACACAAAATGAACTTTAAGTTACCTGCCAACAATTATTAGAGAACTCAGATATTTCTCGCACTTTATTCCTTAATTGAGATTTTGGGACAGCTGGGAATTTACTCTGTAAGGACTCCAACACCTTGCCTAGACTCTGTGAGCATGATTGGATTATAGATACCTGCAAAATTTAGACAATTTTCAAGTGTGTGAATTAAGCTTGAAGACAGTGTTGGGTTATTACATCATGAAGCATATAAATCAGGTTAGCCACAAGGTTCCCACAAACAAAACTGCATGGGAGTGTCTACTCCACAATAAAATGAACTTACAATTTGAGGCAAATCTGAGTTCAAGATAGCTGCAGCACTTGCCACTGGAGTTGAGCTTGACTTGCTATTTGAAGGAGAAGCTTCTTGATCCTCAAGTACTGTGTCATTACAAATTGATATCTCTATTGGGGGACAACCTGGGTAAGGACGAATACTCAGAGATTGCAAACACTTTTGTTCAAACTTCTGTGCATCAGTGAGCCCTTCGGCCTGTAAAATAATAGCCTTTTCATGCATAAGATTCAATACGATCAAGGGTTGGTTTTTTCGAAGTGCATGCTCTGTCAAATTACTCAGATACTTCTGTTGTCGAAGCAAGATATAGAATTCCTCATTCTGCCCAGCTGGTTCAGAATCAGGGAGGTTTCTTATCTCCTCAACCAATTCATCAGAATCCATTTCATCATCCTGTACGCCCTGCATGGCACAATGAAGACCAATAAACTTGTTGACCACAAATCAATATCTCCAAATAATTGAAAAAAATATATTTTAGTTCGTATTTTTTCACCTATCCTCCCTCTGCCACCAACTCCCACCCTTGGCAGAAAATTCATTTCAATAAAAAGCCCAATAATGGAATAAAAAAAGAGGTAAAAATATAAATTGTAAACATGCACACTCAAGAAGAAACACATATATATCATTCGTACTCAAGATAAACTGAGAATTCAATTTACAGGGCAACTATAATATGGTACCTCATTCTCCGAGAGATATCCATCAGGCACAAAAAAACCATCTTCACTTTCATCCTCTTCATCACCTCTTGAATGGGCTTCCGCAGTTTCATCTTCATCATCCTTGTCGCAATCTGACAGGCTTTCACCAGGCTCCTCCTATTCAATCGAATCTTAGTTGCCAATATCTTTTACTATTAATCACATTTACAGCAAAGTTGGCATACCTCTTCCCACTCCTCATCACTATCAATTTCATAGTCTATGTCGGGATCCTTCACAAATGGGTGACGCGCTCCAACAATTTGACTGGAGATGCACAAACACAAGCAATCAGAGTTACAATAATATATTCCAAATCGGTGAGACATCACTTCTAGATAATCTTCTTGTACCTTCACAGGCACCATGTCACCTGACTTTTTCTTCAGTGCAACATTAAGATCATTTTTATTTTCTATCAATTTAGGCTAACAGAGTTATAATTCAACTGCATATCATGCAGGGACCATTTAGTCGTTGTATCCAAGTATCACTTCATAATGATTGTCATACCATGATACTTGTCAAGTGTCAACAGAAAGATAGCAAGGTCAGTGCCTCAATTAGTCTTAACCAAAATAACATCATCAAATAGCTTAGTAGGAGAAGATGACAGCCTTTCAAGTCAATAAAGTAACTGGGTATAGCCCCAAGAAAAAATTTACACGTCATTCCTTAAAAGCTAGGCTATTCAATGTGGCGATCTTCTCTAGTACCACATTACCAGTAAAATGCCCCATGCTTAATTGTTCTAGAACACAGTATAGATAGGCAGGACTCAATATTCAAACCTCAACTTCACATATTAAAACCAAGGATATCCTACACTCACTGATAATATCACTATCGAAGCCTCCAAATTTCTAATTAAAATTCAAGACATAGAAGCCTTCCGTATGCACAAAAAAGATATAACAGAATGATATTATAACAAAACACACTTGCAAATCTATATGCACACTAGTACAACAATATAGTATGACAATTGTTCTCACCTTTTCTTGGACCAAACACCATAAAAGGCTGGCCTATAACTCTTATCAAACTGCAAAAGCTGCCTATTCTTACTACGCTTCTCGAAATTGGGAAGAGTATTAGCATTCGTACAAGATAATCGTCCATCAACATTAGTGTCAACCCACCCATCCACAAGCTTTTCTAGGCTCATATCTTCATCACAGGTAAATTCTCTGTTCGTACTAAGCTTAAGTTCCTTGACCAATTCTGTCTTAGGCTTCTGACGAACTCCCCAATGTATTTTCTTGTTAGAACGAACTGAGTGTCCCAAACAACGCCAAGAATTTAAGTGTGATCTGCAAAAAGAAACCAAGGTAGTGTCTTATACTATCTAAAGCAAGAGTAGTTTACAAGATATCCATGACAAATAGGAAAGGGATGAACCCACTTCCATATATCTTCTGCATCAATTCCTTCACTGACGGTTAGAACAGAGTCCATAGGCACGGTAACTGGTCCAGAAATCCTTTCCACCCTGTTAGGGGATTGATCAGACGTTAACTGTTTGCTCACAGCACCACCATTTTGACAAGTTGAATTAGCTTTGTTCTTTTTGAGAAAGCGTTCCATAAGGGATGTTTGTTTTTGCAGAGCAAGTCGTTTTTTTGACTCAGCTTCTTCCTTCTCCTTGCGCCGCTGTTCTTTCTCTGCTTCCTCTTGCTGCCTTTTCAGCTGTTTCCGCATTTCAGATTCTTCCTTCTCAAGGCGCCTCTCCTCCTTCTCGGCCTCATCTTGTAATCGCTTTAGTTCTTTCTCCTGCAAGGTTGTTGAACTTCAAATTAATGAACCAAGAAAAAGAGATTCACTAGCTGAAACCTGCAAAACTCTCCATCATTCTTACAGTTTGCAACTTTTCCTTATTAAGTTCCCGATCCATCTTTTTCCTCTCTTTCTCTGTCTGACGTTTGCTTTTCTCCATTTGCCTGATCAAAAGCTTTTCTTCTCTCTTGGCTTCTTTCTCGGACCTTCGCCATTATAAATACTGATTAAGTGCATTGCTAAACACCAACATTAGGAAAAAACCTATACCTGGAATACATACACTTCAGCAGCATTTTTCTGGGACATGGTCTGCATCAACAAACGGATATCTGCCTCAGCTAAAACTTTGCCAAGCTTGTCTGAAGCTTTTATCAAATCTTGCCTGTAGCTCTGATGGTCCTCTGATTTTTCCAGTGCAGTTACCATTGCTGAAATGGACTCAAATTGTCAAGTAAAACCACTAAAATGATCACAATATTAAGATTGCTCCACTCAATGAAGTTTCAAAAATGGGCCAACTTGAATGGTTGTACAATTTATTTGAAAGAAAGAGTAAGAAAAGTACCAAGAGAGTAAACTTGCATAAAATTATCGCATATATAACTATTATCAAACAAGATATCTTCTAGCTTTAAATCCTTTGGCCATTCTTTGAGGATGAGATGATGTTCTTTAAAGGTAAAAGATACTAGCTAACAGAAATTAGAACAAGACAAAAGTTTAAATTATTCAAAAACATAGGTTGAACTATCAAGTATTAACATTTAATAGATCCAAATTCAGTATGTGACTTGGCAGTCACCACGAGTTAATGATACTAGGACTGACAGATTAGTAATACATGGTCAAAAATCCCTTGCATGGATCTAGCATTTCTCTCCTCAATAATTCCAACGCCCTTACTTTTAAGTAGCAAAATCACTGGAGTAAACATGATATTCTGAAAAGAACAATATCCTCTCTACAGCTTCCAGAATATCACTTAATTGGTCAGAAACTTTAAGACTTCTTCATATCCACAATACACTTGCGCCCAATTCCGACATTGGACAACTGCCTGAGCAGAAAACTTCTGAATTTATTTTCAAAATCATTAATGAAGATAAAACTGGCAAGGACCTCAAATTTGCACCCATTTCTAGCACACACTTCCATTCTCCCATATAGCTTCTTCCATCAAGGTTGTCTTCAAAAGCATCAGCAATTAACTTCACTAGTCTCTTTGTTTCAATGATAGGACAAAATTAAAAACATTATGTTCACTTATAAAATAAAAGTTTGGTTAATAGTAAATTGAACAAATTTGAGCTCCTGTATAAGTAAGAGAGTATCCTAAAATTTAATAGCACCCATAAATTCACTTCAAAAGGAGGCAGTGCTACGATTATTTCATCCTGTAAATTAAATTCCCCCACACATGATTCAACATATTCTTCTAGCCTCTGGTCCATGGGACATAAAAAGCCATTGGGGACACTAATTAATGTAAAGAACATAAAAACAAAAGTAATATCTATTTTGAATAAAAGTAATATTCATTTTTATTTGCTTATCTCTCTTGGCACTTGCAGTGCATTTTCCTGCTTTGCCAGTTTTCCCATCCATATTAGCCATCTCTGAAAATGAATAACTATTATTAACTTAGTCCACTTTAGCCTTGAATGGAAAATTATTCGTTAAGTCGAAATGCTTCGGAAGATGAAGAAAATCATAAAATTGGCTATAGGAGAATTATTGATTTCATTAAGTCACAATGCTTTAGAAACTTAAAAAATATGACTAAATTGGCCCAAAGACTTTGAGATTGAAATAACTGTTTATGAACAATACTTCCAAACATTTCTAATAAACAAATCTGTGTGTAAAAGCATGATCATTGATTTGTTGTCATTTCTTTTTCAAAAAGCGTTGATTTGACATAAACCATTGCTCTCTTCTCCATCAGAAATGGGTGTTAACCTTAAAAACAATTTCAATTTGTTAAGAGTTCAAAAAATGTTTTTCAGTCTTCAAATTTCCCTTGGCCATCGCCATCACCTCTCTCCCTTCCATTCAACGCAAGTACCTTTCAATTTCACCGCAAACCATATCTTCCTCCTCACACTTCCACCTATATAGTTTTCCTTCATTTGAGTTCATTAATCATTTTTCCTTTCCTTTTCTCGACTTCTTGAAATGGATCTACAGCATCTAAGAAGTGCTGGCTGCTTATCGGCAATGTGTTCAGTTCGAAAAAAATATGAACGAAAGGGGGGACATGCCACCTGGCATTTACAACATGTTGACAACCAATTCGCCAATGCCGGTGGCATGTTGGTGCATCATAGATTTACTCAATACTACATCTTTTTCACATCTTCCTCATTCCAATTTTCATTTAACCATCTTAATCTTGATTATAGATAAACGGTATGCAAACCATTGTTTTATATCTTTGTAGAGGATTTGACAAAGTAGAATAGGAGATGAGGATACAGGTAGCTGTCCCAGACAAGTATACACTGTTCTGTAATTTTGTTTCTTAACCTGTTAAAGTTTATGACAGACCGGTGGACAATATGGCATGTAAATTTAGCTTACGTGCTACATTTCCTAATTTACTTTCCTGCCTCCTTTCAACCTTAGAGCAGCAACCATATTATAAACACTGGCGGTTGGTCCACTAATAATCAGGCTTCAAAGTGTGACTCAAATATATGTAAAACGTATTTACACTAAATCCACAAGGGTACAAACCAATTCAAAATTAAAGCAAGCCGAAAGTTATATGTAGTTGAGCAGTACAGTCTTACCCCAAATAGCAGTAATTCTTTCGTGGATCTTTTTTCGGCAAGTACGCTGAACTTTCAGAGTGGCTCGCATTGATTTTGGTATCAGTTTCAAATCCCTTGTCTATGAAGAACATATATAAACAAGACAAGATTAGCCTCACATACAACCACAGCAGAATACAACATACTAATTGAACAAGAAAAAGTAGGAGTTGATAAACAAAGATAATGGCAATGCAGTAGACAAAAATATGAGACAGCACAACAGAAACAGTAAGAAATAACAATGTTATAGAATAAGGGAGCAATAGTTACAAAGTATATGGGAAGTAGCTTTTACTTATGATTTCCTAATCAATGGGAAAATGCCAAATCAGAAAATAAGCCACACGAATTTGCACATACCAAGTGGAACACTTATGTCGAAGGACAACACAATTCAGAACAGAGCTGGTGTATAAAATCCAATATATAGAATTATATCATAAATGCAACAATTAGTTCACAAAATGCAAAATTTCCAATTTGATGCATATAACTTGACTATTTTAATATAAATATATAACAAAATGCCAAAATGAGACAACTGAAATTCTCCTACCATGTTAACCCATTGTAAAAATAAATAAACCAGAACTCCCATATATTATATATACAACTATACAAGGTACGTGAGTCATGACGAAGCATCATATTCAACCCGAGCACAATCAATTCTATGCTCAACAATCCTTGTCAAAATAAATTTAGGTGCGAAGTATATTAAACATTAATCCAAAAACCGCATCCCCCTCCCCCAAAAGTGACTGCATATCACAAAATCTACTAATTGTGCCCAAATAACATAAGTTAATAACCCTAATCAAACTCAAAGATTTATGGAAACATTTATATAGTAAATTGAGAATTCTACCTCCCAAAACCAGAGGGCAGACTCAGACTCATCCCCCAAAATGTCAGCATCTGCATTGGGCACTCCATAACATAATCTCTGCCCAACTAGAAGCACACTGCTCTTCACACTAGCCTTACTAACACTATCACCATTTCCAATTTTACCCTTAACTTTCTCAAAAATGTCATCCACAAGCTTTGACAAAGGTAGTTCACTCTCTTCCATCAAACATGCAATCAAACCATTTAAAGAGGTGGAAGAAATCCCAATTTTTTCTACATTTTCCAACAACGCCCTTCTTTGTTCGAACACTAAATCTTTGCAGAATTTGATTAAACTCTTGATTTCTTCGAAGAATCCATTGATTTTTGCCAGTTTTTCTTCTGGGCTTGAGGCACATACATATCGATCCCCTCTCTTTCTCTTCAATGCCTTCCTCTTCTGATCTGGGCCATTCGATTTCGAGCTGTTCTCATAAGCGCCGTCAATTATCATCGGTTCAACTTCCGCCATTTCAGCATAAAATTAATCTATATCTATTGAGAAAAAGTAACAAAGACCCTAATGAGAAAATGAAAAACCCTGATCGAAATTATTTTCAAGATTGCTCTCAAACCCAGAAACCCCAGAAACAGCGGCAAATGGAGGATCTTTTTTGGATGAGAAATTCCAGTCCGTTCACTGATTTTCCAAGAAAACCCTAAACGTAAAAAGAAGAAGAGAAATATTACATTATAATCCAGGGAAAAAAGGGATGATCGATGGATGAAAAATAAAAACTTCTTGGAAGTCGAGACGGTGCCGGATTTTTCAGTACTGGAGTGACTCTGTTTTAAGCGATTTTCGATTATGACGTATTATTTATTTATTTCCCGCCTGTGGAGAAAAATATTTGGCTCCAAAGTAAGCGATTTTCATAGTTGGCGCCCAAATTCGATACATTTGTCCGCCATTTTGGTGCTCCAGCCTAAATCCTCAATGCGCTGTCAAAGCCACAGAAAAAGGAAAGAGGTCATAGGAATACTAATCAGTAATTTCCAAATATGATTTTGTGCATTAACTCTGCCTCTAAAAATTCATTTTTTCTTAAACTCATTTTCAATTATATAATTTTTTCAATAATCTAAGCCCCTATTTATTGGTGATTAAAATCTAGCCCTTATTTGTGTCCAATTTTTTTCATCAAAATGTATTTTTGAATAGTAATTTAACTCAATTTTAACTGCACATTTTTCAATAAAATAATATTACACACAATTCCAAAATTTTTCCTTATTATCTAACCACACATTATACATCATAACACTATTATAAAATACATTTCTTTGAAAAAAATGCTCAAACAAGATTTTAATCTAAATCAAAGTCAACAATTAATTTTAAGCACGTATTTTATGGAGTTCACAAATTTTAAACTCCACATTTTATCAACTTGTATACAAATATACTAGAATTTTGATTTTAATCCCCATCAAACAGAAATTAAAACCATGGAAAATCTCATTTTTAACCACATATTTTTCAAAAATAAAAAAATAATAAAAAAAATCACTATTACAATATTTTTAAGAAAAATGGATTTCAAACACACATACTACATAAATAAATTTTGGACGACCTTACTTTTATTGCTTGAAATGAAATAACTGAAATTGTTAATTTATGAAATTTGTGTAAGATGGTATCTATCTTTTAATGCGCTTTTTATTCAAGTTGTTGGTTCAAAAAGTAATTTTTATTAAAATATAATTACCATTCGTTGATCCTTATTTTCCGTACGAATGATGTGGTTAACTGATCCTAATCTTCTCATGTCCACGTAGTTAGTCTCCTGCATACTTGGACAAATCATTAGAACATATAGCTTTCTTCGATGGTGGGTGAGGTGGTCGTGAGCACATTCCGACAGTCAAATCAATCAACTTGTAAGAGTATATATGGGTGTAGGATGAACAAAAGACGTGAGAGACGTTAATCTACGGTCACTGAGGTTTCATAAAATAACAAAGAAAGGGAGAGTAATCTTATGATTGAATGTGTAAAATTGCATTACCTTCAAACTATTAGCACATTGTCTTAAAAAAAGAATTGACCACAACTCCACAAAGTTGGCCTCGTATAGATTAAGTCAAATAGATCATATCACCTTGGACCTCATAATATAACTCTGTTAAGTGTTCACGCCTCGATCAGTTGTAGTAAAGTTTGTATAAGCATCCAAGTGTTGATGCCTTGAACAAGATAACAAATTCATAAATTATCCTAATTAAATTCTTCCTTGCATGATGGATGATCCATCTATGCAAGAGCTTCCTATATGGTAGATGGTGTGTCCATACAGTGCATAATGACATCGGCCTCGAAGATTTCAAGGTGGGCTCTCTTTAGGATACTTCACACCTCTCAGCCAAAGCAACATAAACTTCCTTTCATGGTAGATACTTCACCATGCAAGGGCTTCCTGTATGGTAGATGATGCATTCATGCATGAGCTAATGTTGTCAGTCTTATAGGTTTCAAGAAATGCCCCATTTGGGATTCTTTACACATTTCTTTCCAAAGCGACATAAATTTCCTTGCATGGTGGATGCTTTATCCGTGCAAGGGCTTCTTACATGCCAAATGTTGCATCCACATAGGGAATAATGAATTGAAGATACTTAAGCTGAAATTTATTTTATTGAAGGGAGCTTTAACATAAGCTGAGGAAGATCATCCAATTGCAAAGATAGCCTTGTTCACGGATAATGTTTGCACAAATGTTCTAAATTCCATGGGTGGGGTTGTGTCTTTTTACCCAGGTCATAGGTCTTTTTAATGCAATAGGAGGTGAGCTTCAATTACGAATCATCCCTTATTTCTTCAAAGAAATTGAGATCATACATCATCAACTCATCACTAGTGATTTCATTAAAGTATAGACGATGAGATTAGAGTAATCCCACCTTTATTAGGTTTATAGCCTCAACTCAGTAGGAGCTCAGTAGGCCATAGAGAAAGATTTTTCTCTAGTAACAATTTGTCTTATGGTGCGAATAGCTATAACACTTAAGGGAACAACCTGTGCTCATTTGGGAAAATTAATCCTTTTCTTCAAAGTATATTTGATGGTATTGTTGACGAATTCAACCTGGCCATTTGCTTAAGGGTGTTGACGTATAGAGAAGTATTCTTGATTCCTAGCTCTTTATAGAGTTCTCCGACCTTTTTTGTTATTAAATAATAAGTAAAGAATGTCGAACAATAGATAATATTCTTCTAAAGGGATTTTGAAGTATTGGCTTTGGTGATTTTGGCCAAAGTTTAAGCCTATATTCATTTGGTGAAATAATTAATGGCAACAATTGCATAGCATTTGATGTCTCTTTCTCTTGCCAGTTGACCTATAAGATCAATTTTTTACTTGGCAAAGGGCCAAGCCTAGATGCAATCGTGAGCTCCTTGGATAGTTACTTCTATACGGTTGTAAAGTATTGACATTTATTGCACTTCCGCACAAAATTGAAAGGATAATTCTTTAAAGCAGCCAGTAATATCCTTGCTTAAGAAAGTTTTGTACGAGAACAGGTCATCCACTTTGATTTTTGCATACATTATCACGAACTATTCTGAGGATGTATATTATTTCTTCTCCTCTTATGCATCGAATGAAGGAGGATGAGGAACCTCTCTTATAGAGAAAATCGTCTTGAAGAATGAAGTGTGTTGTTCTTCAAAGCTTATAGGCCTCGTCTTTCTATCAATGAGGATATGATATTTGAGGATGGCTATGAATGGTTACTCCATGATGCCTTCAACCGCACATCATCACATTTCCTTTGGATATGGATGGCTTGAAGAGGTGCTCAATTTGGTACTACTTTGAGTAACTAGAAATATTTGCTATTAGCAAGCTTAGATTATGTACCTGTATGTGCATTTTCTAGGCATGGAATTTAAGCTAGCTCAAACCTTTCAAAAGATGGAAGGAAATCCATAACATGTTTTGGGTATGGCCCGACGATAAAGTAGCCATTACCTTGGCTCATACCTAGTTGGTAGTTACTATTTACAAGTAGCCTCTTCACCTGCATTTTTTGAGCCAATTCGAGACCAACTAGGAGGGCCTCATATTCCGCAGTATTGTTGGAAGCATTAAATTTAAACCTCACTATATGATTAAGTTTATGGCCTTTTGGAATTATTAAGACCATTTCTGTCCTAGAGCTCGCCTCTCTGAAAGAGCCATCGACAAAGAGGTTTCAATTTGGGGGCTTAACGAGTTCCATCGTTACCTATATTTTAGGAATGTTGGCAAATTTCACGACAAAGTCATAGGGGCTTGACCTTAGATGTAGGTTGTTAACTTGAAGACAACGTTAAATTTACTCAGCTCTACAGCCCATTTCATCAACCTACGTGAAGTTTTTGTCATCTGAAGCACATACTTAAATGTAACAAGCATGTATGCTATGGACTTGGAAGTATGACCTCAACTTTTTGAAAGCGATGACGAGGGAGAGGAAGAGCTTCTCAATAGCTGGATGAGGGCATCCGCTTGTAAGAGAGCTTTGCTCACATAGTAGACAGGCAAGTAAATTTCATTTGATATTTTCACAATATGTTGAAAGCCTTGTCCAAATGTTTTAAACGGTATTTAGCTTGAAAGGTTTTCACAAGCATGTCATCAATGTATATTTTCATTGTTTTTCTTATATAATCTGTGAATATTTTGTTTACTAGCTTTGATATGAAGCCCCACATTTTAGCCTAAACAATATTATTTTATAACATTACAATCCTCGATCCAACACAAATGCAGTATATTACTCGTCAGATTCATATACGGTAATTTGGTTATATCTTGAATATACATCCGTAAAGTGTAATAGCTCATCCCGCCATTGCATGCTGATTAATTCTAGAGAATAAGAAACTGTCTTTAGGACAAACTTTATTCAAGTTCTTAAAATTTAGCATGTTTACCATTTTTCATTGCTTTTTGGTATTAGGTCCTGATTATATACCCATAATAGGTATTGATCTTCATGAATAAAGCCACTTTCTAACAACTTATCCACCCTGTTCTTTGATGCCTCATACTTAGTAGTGGTAATGGGCCGAGTCGATTGCACGAGCTCGTGGGCTGAGTCGAGCTTGGGCTCGTGGGCTCATCCAATTTTTTTTTTAAAAGAGTTTTACAAATAAATGTAATAGAAAACACTTATAAAAAAAATAAAAAGTGTTAAAAATTATAAATAATTTAACGTATTGTAATACTTTTTATAAAGTATAAAATATTTATATAATGAAGACGAATTATTTTTTGAAATACATTTACAAAAAATATATTTTTTTATTTCTTTTTAAAATAGATAAAATATAAACCCTCCTCCTTTATTCGGGCTTAGGACTGACTACATCAATTTTAAGTATGCGGAGTTAAAAATTGTACACGAACAACTTGTTGTAATGCGTAAAATTTTTTTAAAAGAAAATTAAATTTAACGACTAAAAAATAAAGAAATTTTGATTAATATAATTAAATCAAATACCACTTACCTGACGACATGTAATTTCAGCGTCTTTATTTTGTAGTCGAAAATTAGCGTCCTGCCAATCATTCACGCACATTAACGCTTCCAAAATATTTTCTTTCAGTCGGCTCCTGATATCAGTCAAAATCCTTTTATCCGCACTAAAAGCAGATTCCGAAACAACAGTGCTAACCGGAGGTGTTAGCAGATCTTTCACAATTGCAGAAACAATTGGCCAACGTCTTTTATACTTTTATCAGAATTCAATTACTTCTTCTGAACTTTTTTTAATTGTTCTGTCTGTTGGCATATTATGATTGAAATAATCAATTAATTCGGTAGGCATCGCATTTTGAGTTTCGATCGATGTTTGATGAGATGCAAATATATACGACATGGCACTAGATGAACACATTGCAGTTGCATCATATCTAAATGTATTAATACCTTAAAATAAATTC